AAACATTTTCAAAAACCTGTTTTACCAGTATGATGTGTCAGAGGTACTATAAAGGAGGTAACCCTGGCAAAAATGATGGCATCACCACTCCAAAAACATTTTCTTTCAGTTAAATGCCACCAAAACAAGTTCCAGCTAATGGCAAAGTGTTTTTCTTCATATTTCTGTATTTCTTTCTTCTGCTTCATCCAAAAACCAGCTCAGACAGACAACAGCAATTCTATTTCTTACTTTTTTAAGTGTTTCTAAATATCAGAAGTTTGGGCTTTTAAAATATGACAGTTTTATGACACGTCTGTAATTATTTGAAAGAACAGTCTTCAAGAGTGATGAATCCACAAATTTTGCAATAAGCTTTGGCTGACTAGTGTTTGTCATATGAATACTATCGCTCTACATCTCTACATTTGCTAATTATTTTTTATCTAAATTTATGCCTGAAAGCCAGATTCACAAAGCAGCTGTAGCTTTTCTCTAACACCCACAAAATGAGTCATGCCTGCAGCCCCTAAAGCACCTGGCGTCAGCTACCCTGCGTGAATGTGAACCACCGATCTGCCTTCAGTCCTCTGAGAGGAATCAGGTAATTACATAATCACGTCATTTGTCATCTATTGCTCATTCATGAGTGGAACCCATCTGACTGCCATAGAACCAACATGATGAATGCAAAAGCTGATTGACCCTAATTGACTTTGAGTGCTCAGTAAACTCAGCTGAATGGGTTTAGTTGTTTGAGGCGATGTCTGTTCTTCTTGGTTCTTCTAATGATGTGCACAGTGGGGACCGGAGTCCCCGAGGACGATGGAGAGGACAAGTGGGAGGTTCAAGTCTCAAACTTTCACTTCAGTTCAGTTTGTGTCTCAGGGCTCTGTACAAAACACAATCAATGTGAGAAAGCCAGTAGATTGCATTGAAACTTCACTTYGTCACAGTCTCCTCTCATTAGTGACAGTGGAAAGGAAAAACTTCCTTTTAACAGGAAGAAACTTCCAGCAGAACCAGGCTCAGGTCGAGCAGCCATTTGCCAAATAAGTTCTGATGTAGCAAACATTAACCTCATGTGATTGATCAGCTGTTTACACTGTCTGCGTCTTCCCAAACATTCCCATAACAATAAATAAATAAATAAATAAATAAATAAAATAACAGAACAACTACAACTTGCCTGATAACAGCACATTCCTGAAAACATCTCTCCAATGTGCCGAGGTGTGGTGTCTCTGCTAGTTTGCCATGACTTCCTGTTTATTGCAGCCATGCGTAATGTCAGTGTCTGATGAAATTATGCCTGATTGATTCGCTCCAAACCAGTTGATGGAAACACACCTAATTTGCTTTTTTTTTTTTTTTTTTTTACCTTTTTTATTCAACAATTTAAAGATTTGCTCAAAATTTGTGTTACAATTGGATGGAAACATGGCTACTGACTGACCAATGAGTGAAGAGTATCACACACACCACAGTCAGCAACMACTTTCAACATGAAGAAAGACATTATTTCAGCAACTTTTACATTTTACATGTCACTTCACAAAGTRATTACTGAGATACACATAAAGAGGCAGCCGTATGGGAACTTGTTGGCACCAGGGTCAGGTTGTCCGGTAAATATTCTACACATGAAGTTGAATTTTATTGTGTGTGTAAGTTTAACAATATCATAATTAGTATCAGCATTAGTTTATTCATACCCCGTCAAGGATCAATATTTACGGTTATAATAAATGTATAATAATTTTACAATAAAATGAACTCCAAAAGTTGTACAATAAAATAATGCCAATGAAATCAACAAGAAGATGAAGATAAACCAATCAAATTTCTTGGAGACAAGCAACCCGAGACCGTGATTTTCATTGCTGCTGTCGCTGTGGAGTCCCGTGTGTTGGGTTTTCCTTATTTATACTGTTACAGTCAAGCCTTAGACTGTAACAGTATAAATAAGGAATAACTCAGGAAACCAACCCTAACAATAGAATATTTCAAAAAGGAAAGTCTTAAGTCCAGTCCTAGTGTGTCAGCCTCATGGACAGAAACTAGAAGTTGGTTCCACAAGAGAAAAGGCCTGAGAGCTGAAACCTCTGCCTCTCATCTTACTTTTAGAAACTCTGGAAACCATAAATAAACCTGCAGTCTGAGAGCAAAGTATTCTGTTAAATATGGAACAATAAGGTCTTTAAACTTTGAATATGGATTTTTTTGTTCTCTTTGAAGGCGTACCACTGTGTTTGAAAGCTTGAAATCTACTTATACAGTAGAGTTTACTCCAGCTAAGCTCTTGTATTGTAACGTGACTGACCTCACTGAACTCACATATGCCTATTGTTTTCTGGAATTCAATATAAGCTGTGCAGAGGACCATAACTCCTGTGTGGATGTAGTTCTCAGGGTCAAACCAAACTTCAACTTTGTTCAGGATTGACTTTATGTTCTTTACTGATGCTTTCAACCCAAAAACAATTCTTGTGACAAACAATTTTGGACTTAAAATGACCAAATTAATATAAAAATGCATAATTTATGACCTTGATTCACATTCTATAAAGATAAGATCAACACTTTGTCATATGTTGTCATTTACAAAAAGAAAAACAAAAAAAAAATCTATCTAACCCAAAAAGATATGAAAAAAGCTGCTGACAATTTTGTTTGTTTGACATCAACCAGTGATGTTTTTTTCTCATTAGTGATTAAATGAGACTCATTGTCATGTCAAAAGTACTGTAGGAAACACTGTGAATGCAATTATAAGGATTGCTAGAAAGGGAAATAACTATGCAATTTAACAAATAAACATTTGTGATAAAACTTACTGAACATGAACCTGTTGTAGACAGTTTTTTGGATGACCTCAGTTTGAAGGAATAAAGTCAAAATCTGACAAGTTTGACAAGTTAACAGCTAATCTGAGCAGGGTCAGATTATCTTTTAACTACTGCAATTTTATAAACGTTACCATGGTTCATTTCAAAAGACCCAAACTTTCCGTTTAGGCATTATTCAGACATGCATTTTGAGTGTGATATGCAATAAAGCAGTTAATTTTTTTTTCAAAGTTCAGAATTGTGGAACCAAAAGCCAAATATAGAAATGTAAATACTAAAGTTTCTGTGAAAAAAGAACACTGTCATGTTCCAGCCAAGGCTTTATAGATAAAAAGACAGGAGTCAGTATTGTGTCCTTCTAGGAAAGGACGCCGCCCAGCCTTTTTTGTGCTGAACACAAACTGAGATAAGCAGAAGTGTTGGGCTGAAATATAAATTCATCATTGTGTCACGATTTGTTTTCCCAAGAAAATGTGATCTATTGACACCCAGAACTGTCAGCGAGGAAACAGTAGACTGGGTGAACTCCACACTGGTTATGAAACGGGAATAGGTGAGGCAATTTGACCCAACTCCTCTGAACCAACTGGATCATAAGCATTTAAGATATGAAGGGCCACATGCTTTCATTAAAATTATGATCCCATCCATCCATCCATCCATCCATCCATCCATCCATCCATCCATCCATCCATCCATCCATCCATCCATCCATCCATCCATCCATCCNACCCACGCAGCTCGACATGCTGCAATATAAAAAGCTTGAACCCTGATCTCTTTTAGCAGAGAAAATTCATGACTGTGGCAGGAAAACAAGGCCCATTAGAGGATTTATCGTCCATCCATCCATCCATCCATCCATCCATCCATCCATCCATCCATCCATCCATCCATCCATCCATCCATCCATCCATCCATCCATCCATCCATCCGCCATTTGTACCTGGATGCTAATTGGCTTTTAATCAGCCTTTAATGAGGTTCTCACCTGCGCTGAGGGTTCATACAATTCTCTCCTCAGCTGCTCTCCTACTTGTGATACAGACACCTGCTACGCCCTGTTGCCATGGCTACCCAATGCTGTGCAGTGGTCTTGGCTGCCACAGCGGTATCATCTTTTAAGCTGACAGATAGGTGAGACAAGGTGAGTCTCACCTTGTTGATGAGAATAAAATATCCTACAAGATCTTTGATTAAAGCGTCTAGACTCAAACCAATTTGTCTGTTGGCAAAATATCTCATAGATTTTAGCTAAACTTTCAGACAGTAATCACTAGGTGCAACTCATTCACTTTCAGAGTAAAATTCAAAATGGTCACCACAGTTAATTTTTGTACAACATTTTTTTCATTCATGAAGCAAAACCATGTAGCTGAAACACACAAAAATAAAAACAAAAAAGCAAATGACACTATGAACGTAAATTAACCTTAGTAGACCTAAAGGTGATGCTAACTCTGCCAGGTATTGAGCTGAAGTTTGGTGTAGTAGCTGAGACTAATCCCCAAACAATAACAATTGGCTTTTAAACTTTGGGATGTAAAGTGGCGGGCGACATGCAGGGGTTCTGTTGGTGGCTCCAACCAGGTCCCTGAATAAATATGCATAATGAGACCTGGTCTAATTTGAGCACAGGTGTCCTTCTCAGTGAACATGAGCTGCCGGGCAGCAGGAAACAACATGATCCCCGGAGCGGAGTGACGCGCGGATGACCCAGAAAAGGAGCGCGTGCTGCGGGTGGCGCGTGCGTAAAGCAGCAGAGGTGGCACACGGTCTTCCTGGCGACTGTTTACTTGTCAAAATGGAGACTCGAAACAGCCTCTTTTTTTTTTTTAAAGCAAATACGGCTTCTATTTTCGCAAGCAATTAAAGGGGAACGCATCTGAACTGCGCTCATAAACGCGCGGTGCGTTCAAGAACAATCGGAAACGCACTACGTTTATRTAACCCGTTTTTAAAACCCATTTAAAAAAAGGCAGCCCGTCTTTATGAAACGTGCGGACGGAACAATTATTAGTTAATTCACTGAGGAGCAAGCCAAGCATCTCTCGCGCGCTCTGGCTTTGCAGCAGACTCTTAACATCATCACCATCATCCAATCAGAGCAGCCGACTGGTGCGTGCTGGAGGCGGAACCCGAACGTTCCTTACATCCCCCCCCCCCCCCCCCTTTTTTTTTTTTTTTTTTTTTTTGCGAACAGATTACTTGGACAATTTAGCCGGAGAAACACATGACAGCGAGGCAGCCGGCAGGGAAGGCGGACGTCGTTGGACAGAAAACACACCGCGGGTCTCCAGACCGAACCGAGCCGAGGTGTGTGTAGAGATATTTGGAGTTGAAGGAGGGCGACCTCTGCTACTTTCCTGGTAAGCGCCAACCTTGATGTGTAATGGTCATTTTTAAGAGTTATTGATGTAAAGCAACAATAAATAGGCTATGCATCTTCACAGCCTGAAGTAACGTTATATTGCGAAGGTTATTTGAGCTGCATGTTAATGTGTTCAGTCAGAAACATGGTGTTCTTCWTTTTTCCGAAGACATTCAGAGATTTTGCACCTTTTTCACCCATTGAGAAATTATTTGGTTTCAAACTAGATCAATTACTATGTACCCTAAAATGACATTTAATGAGCTGTCCCAGTGGAAGCAAATTTCTTTACATCAATAAAACAGCTTTTCATGTGACTTTTGAAAATGTTACTTTGTAGTAAAACGTTTTCAGCATGTCTGGATATTTATTTATTTTTTTACCCCATAGTATGTCACTCAGGATTTAAAAAAAAATGGCAGCACAATAAATTAGATTTGATGCAGTTAGATTTTTTTTAATCTTCTCACAGGATGATGGTGATGTTTTAAAGGGCACTGATGAAAAGTAGAGGTGCCTGCTCTYATGTCTGCTGATCCTTCATAGTCTAAAGGGGAATTGAGACATAGCTGGCTGAGTTTCGATAGTGGGAGGATGATGCATGACTTTGCCTGACCTGTAGTTTCACATAAAAAAAAAACTAAAGGCTTTATTTGCAGTTATTAAAAAATAGAAATATAATTACTATTATTACAGTTGCCTCGATTTAATGCAAGTGACCAATTAAGCTCAAGGCTGAGATTATTTTTTAAATTTACAAACAGAAATTCAAGGTGTTTCAAGCAATCTGTAGAGGACATTATGGACATACTTTACTATGGGCATGCTGTTTAATGACATTACAGGCAGTTCTTTACAGAAATATGCTCTTCACTCAGCTGAAATGTCTCCTTTAAAGGACAGTTTTACATTTAGCTGACTTGTCTAAARCTTCATTAACTGGTTGTTTACTGCAACATTTGCAATGATCTGATTACATTTCATCTATTTCATTTTCTCCCTTTTAAACCTTGATTTATGAAAAAGAAAAGTAAATGGTTCCCTGTTGGCATTAAGGAAAAAAATCCCTCTCTGGTTTTCATTTTTTTATTTTTTTTTTTTATTTTTGGGGGGTGGGGGTTATGTATACTTATCATATTTGTGACATTTGTGTTCAGTAGAATATTTCTTTGTTGTAACAATGCTTCTTGGCAATAAAACTTATGGCAGCACCTGGTGGAACCAGAAGCTCAAAACAGGTGTCAAATCAACAGCAAAATAAGCTGTTTGGCAGAGAAGGTTTGGCAATTTTTTTATGTGTGTAACTCGCATACTCGGCTCTACTGCTCATCCCACAAACACATGTTCCAAATGTGGCACCATTTAAAAAGGACATGAACAGGCTTTCCAGTGATATACGATTTAATGTCTAAAAACATTGTTACAGCAAATAAATATTCTACCAAACATAATCACAAAAAAGATTCTGTTGTGTTTATTTCTTTTGTCTGRCCCAATTACCAACAGATAAGGTCATGTTAGATTAGGGTGTGATATGAATAGTAAAAAAATAGTGAGCAGTTTTATATTTCAAACATCATATCAGATTTATCCATGTTATATTTAGGCTAAGCTTCAGTTGCAGAATCGTGAGCACAGTTATATCACACTTGTCTGTTTAAAGATTAGTAGTATCTGAGGACACTCCGAGGGATATCACAGACGCTTTGCAACATAAAATAAGGTCACAACGTTTAAATTCTGGCTGAATGAAACTATTCCGAAGAGTYGTATAAACAGGACTGAGATGCAGATTAAAAAGTTACCAGCTGTGGCTTCATGTTTATTTAACGTCTTATTTTCTTTTAGATTTGTGTTCTTTATAATCTTGGTGTGATGTTAGAGCTTGCATTACGCTCTGACTTCCATTMCTTCATACACGATACTGCAACTGTGTAGGTTTTTAGAGCAGTTGAAATAACGAGTTGATGCTTGTAAAATGAAAACTAAATAAAAGTAAATACTGAATAATTAGTGCTATTTGTCTTACAGACAAACAGAAACAACTATCTTTTTTGTGTCTGTSTTTTACCAAAATATCTTATAAATCACTGGACAGCACCTTTACACTTGGTTAACCCTGTTCAAGATGGCCACCACAGCCAACTGACCTTAAAAAACTCACAAGTGACTATAGCTCATTCCATTTTTGCAGAAAATGAGCTCAAAYTTGTTGTGGTAGTAGCTGAGAGTCACAWYACGTACTYCAAATTCTACACACTTGGTGAGAGCTTTGTTTGTCTGTTAGCAAAATATCTCATGTAACACTAGACAAATTTTAAGGACACTTTSAGAAAGTAATTACCTTCCCTACATCCACAACTGATTAACCTTTGGAGTCAACCCAATTCAAGATGGCCACCACAGCTAACTGACWACAGCAGGGGTGTCAAATTTGTATTATAATAATTTTCACAGAGGGCCACATGAGTGGTATTGTAGTTGTCAAAGGGCCAGTTGTAATTTACTTTGACGTTTCATGTTTAACTTCAACTAAACAGGAAACATCATGTTCCTTGTCTCTGTACACCTGAACACTACTARCAATCAATAACTAAGCTCTACTTGGTTTTTCCTGCATAGAAACAGTGTTTTGACACGTCATCTTATGAACACTGAAAAGTACTAAGTGACTAAATATATTAAAAAAAAATCCCACCTGTGGGACTAATGAAGGATAATATTATCTTAAATAATACAGAAATACTATTAAAAGTATAATTAAGAGTTTTACTCACTGTTGAGCTCTGATAAGTGTTGAATTCTGAACTCTCCCACTTTCGGACAAGGAATTCTCAAGCAAAATCAACATGCGTTATGGGAGATGTATGGTCAGGTGGGCAACAGTTACATAAAGCCAACAGCTCAGGGGCAGGTATTTCTATCCTTCACATTTTAAATGTGTTTATTTTATTATATTGAATCATAAATTAAAAGTTTACCATTGGTAGAAAAACTGTTTTCAAATTAAATTAAGCTTTTGGCATTTGGCCCAAAAGCCTTGWATTTAACACGTGGACTACAGCCAACACTAAAATGCACAATGTACAGATACTGAGCTAAAATGTGGTGTGGTTTTAGTGAATGACAGTCACTCACAACACATATTCTGGAATCTTACTACACATAACATTACTTTCAAGGTTTGACCAAAGCAGCTACAACTTTGATTTTAGTTTAAACGTCTGATGGGTAATATGAAATCCTTTTAAACTTCAGATTTTGAAAGAACTTCAATATGATGCATGTTGGGCTTTTTTTTTAATGAAAAACAGTCTTACAAGTTTACACTCCTAAATATCCACTAAAAACGTAATAAATCACCTCAGAGTCTCGTTTCCACACAGCATCAGTGTTTCTGTTCTTTAGGGATTCTCGAGTCTTGCATTGATCTGCCTATTGTTGGCTGTGCTTCAGAGTTTCCTGTCAGTGGATTGGGGTTTAGACCGCCACCGTGGTGCTGCGGCATGTGACAGAGTCAGCTGTACAATATGTGTCGTGGTGGTCACACACATTGCGAGGATGAACGAACGAACGAATGAATGAATGCATTGCTGCGCTCACGTCCGTCCCCATGTGACAAGGAGGAAGCAGGAGCGGACCGGGTCGCAGGAGCCAGCAGGAAAAGCGTGGCACTTTGTTTTGAGCCACATGATTGAGGAGAGACAGAGGTGGCATTGAGGAAACTGGGATGAGAAAAGAGCTTTTCGGGATCCGCTTCCCGTCCAATTGTTCTGATCCCATTAATGTGTAGGTGTAACCTCTCGTTGTTGGGTTTGTGTTGTCCTCTGTTTCTGGGTCTGCTTTTAGGACATTAGTTTAAATTCAGACAACTAAAATATTCTCTTGTATTGTGTTTAAGTTTCCAAAGGGGAGAAAATGTTGTTTAATGCTGGCCTTTTTTGCACCATTATTGCAGAGTGAAGATTGTAAGTAATTATGTTAAAATCAGATCTTTTTTTCTTTTAAATAATTAAAGAAAAATAAAAGAATTAAAGACCTAACGTACCTTGAATGTTTTGCTCAAAACACGAGTCCATATCAGAATAAGCTGTTTGGCACTGGCTGAAAAGATTAGGCTTTTTTTTTCTTTTTATGGGCACAACTTACTCTGCTGCTTAACCTAMAAATACATTTTCCTAACAAATGTGGTGCTATTTAAGAGGATACAAACAGGCTTTTGTTAATTTATTGCTAAGAAGCATTGTTACAACAAAGAAATAATCAACCAGATGCAAAATTCTTACTTTTTGGGCTATTTTTTTATAACCATCCTCCATTAGAAGGCAACCTATGACGTACTGTGGTCAAAGAGTTTCTATTGTGTCCAATGTGGGTGCAACTCTTTTGGTTTTATGGCACCTGGTATTCCCAAACTGTCTCCCATCCAAGTGCTAACCAGCTCCGACCCTGCGTAACGTCTGATATGAGCCGAGAGCTGGCACGTTCATTGTGGTATGGCYTCTTAACAACCACATTGTCACATAAATTGGCAAATATAAGGCTAGTTTTTTGGGTGATTTACTTTACAATAAAGCTCAAAAACTCACAATAACTTGAGTGCAACCATTGGAGCCTCCAGTGGTTGCAGTTCTCACCTTCGAGACAGCAGGTGTTGCTATCTGGGAGCTGCCTCACGTCTAAACTTGTCCTGACGTACAGTAGTTCTATCTAAGATGTCTCATTTTTCTAACCAGCGAGCAAATTGTGTTTGCTCTCCAAGGCGACAAGCTGTTCTAATCTCTCAGTGAGAGCGCTGACATACGCTTATGATGCTTTGGCCAGCCTGCAGGACAAATTGGATTCAGCTTGGAGAACAGCATTACCCCACACCAGCATTAAGTTATTGTCCGGGCCAGGAACTCATCGCCCCGTCTTTTTTCTCTGAGCTGACATCAGCTTGAAATCGAGCCAACACTTTGTTCCACGTCTCAGGATGACGTCAACACAGATGCAGCT